TCACTGAAATTGACCGCCGAGACGTTCTCTCTCTCTCCGGCTACCATTTTGTACCCGGGTCCGTTTCCGTACAGGATGGAAGTGAAGGGCTTCTTGTCCATGTCGCTCTGCATCGGGGCCAGCCCTAGACAAAGAGGAAGCCATCTTTACTAATGCTTCTCCCACAACCTCTTTGGGGCCTGTCTCTACGTGGACATTAAAGGGTTGATCCTGGCATTAAGCTGGCACCTAATGAGAAGGAAGGACTCACTGGAGAAGAGCCTGATGCCGGGAAAGATGGAGGGCAAGAGAAGAAGGGGACGGCAGAGAATGAGGTGGCTGGATGGAGTCCCTGAAGCAGCAGGCGTGAGCTTCAATGGACTCCAGAAGATGGTACAGGACAGGAAGGCCTGGAGGAACGTGGTCCATGGGGTCGCGATGGGTCAGACACGACTTCGCAACTAACAACAACAAATACTTCCCAGGCCCCTTTCGCCCAGGGCGAGGGAGGACCAGTGTTGTGGCACCAGCTAGCACAATAATGTACCCCACAAGTTTCGTTTCCCCCCAGGGAACTGCGTTCTCTGCTATCCAAGGGCATTTTGCTGACCAAGAACTCAAAACATTCACACAGGGTTAGGGGCGCCAGTTCACAGGAGACGTCCCATACCGAAAATGGAGTTGCCACGGGTTGTGTAGCCCCCGAAGGTGAAGACGTGGGAGTGGTCCGCGGTCACCACCGTCAGGGTGTCTTCGGAAGAGGTCAGGATGCCAGCCTCGCCGATGGCTCGGTCCATTTCCACCGTCTCGTGGAGGGCCTGCTTGGCCTTCCCCTCGTGGTGCCCGTGGTCAATCCTGCCCCCTTCAGAGAACGGAGAGGGTGAATTCCCGCCCTCGGTTCCCACAGCCCTCTTCAGTCCCTCCCCCTCCCCAGCAGCCACGGCGTTCCCCCTCCCCGTGGCTCACCCTCCACCAGGAGAAAGAATCCATGGGGGTTCTTCTGCAGCATCCGGATCGCCACCCTCACCATTTCGGTCAAGGAAGGATCGGTTTGGTTGTTCCTGCTCAGTTCGTACATCATGTCGATGGGCTCAAAGAGACCTGCAGAGGAGAGGGGGGAGGACTTGGCAAGAGCTGCCCAGAAGATGCCAACCCAGGCAGCTGAGGAGGGGGGGAGTGGGGTTCCACCAGGACCCCTGCCCTCCCTCCAGCTGCTGCCCTTCAGCGTCTTCCTGGCCTGGGGATGAACTGCTGTGTTCACGGTTGCATGCCATGGTATGTTCTGGCTGCTGCCACTCCTGTGAGGGTCTCTTATAATAATAATAATAAAAGTTGGAAGAGACCTTGGAGATCATCTAGTCAATCCGCTGCTCAGGTAGGAAACCCTATAGTACCATTTCAGACAAATGGCTGTCCAGTCTCTTCTTAAAAACTTCCAGTGTTGGAGCATTCACAACTTCTGGAGGCAGGTTGTTCCACTGGTTAATTGTTCTCACTGTCAGGAAGTTTCTCCTTAGTTCTAGGTTGCTTCTCTCCTTGATTAGTTTCCATCCGTTGCTTCTTGTCCTGCCTTCAGGGGCTTTGGAGAATAACCCTGCTCCTTTCTCCCTGCCAGGATGCCAACACTCAGCTGCCCATCCTCTCCTCTCTTGGGGTCCCCAACGCCCCCTCCCCTCGCAAGAAGAAATTCTCACACGGAGAGTAGAACTTGCAGCAAATAATTACCCCCAAGCCAAAACGGACTGTCTCCTCAGAAGAGATCAGTATTTCCCCCCCCTTCCCCATTAAACAAAAATGGGAGAGCAAGTTTTTAAGAAGAGACTGGACAGCCATTTGTCTGAAATGGTATAGGGTTTCCTGCCTGAGCAGGGGGTTGGACTAGATGACCTCCAAGGTCCCTTCCGAGTCTGTTATTCTTTCTTTCTTTCTTTCTTTCTTTCTTTCTTTCTTTCTTTCTTTCTTTCTTTCTTTCTTTCTTTCT